AACTCCGTTCTGGGCATTCTATGAGAAAAAAAGCCCCGCACATAGTAATAAAATTTACAGTTTGACACATTTTACCTAAATAGGTAATCTTTGTGACCATTCAAAGTTATAATAGTGATGAAAAAAGTGACATGGCCAATCATCACACTTATGAGTATCCCAGTATTTCTGTGGTCATGTGATCAAAATTCAGGCGCTTTACAACTGGCATGTATTTGTGATAATTGCAGCATCCTGAGGTCACATGAACCCCATTGGTCACTTTTCCAGGGCACTTTTGACAAACAAAGCCAATGGTAAAGACAGATTCACTTAATAAGCATGTGGTTCACTTAATGACTATGCTGATTCACTTAATGACCATGGCAAAAAAGGTCATAAAATCAAGCACCACTTCTTGATCACATTGCTTAGCAACAGAAGGTCCTGTCCCAATTATGGAAATAAGTCAAGGACTACTTCTATCGATATGCAAAACTTGTTAAATGAACCATAAATAATGTAATGTTCTATTCTGTAATTGCTTTATTATGTGTCATAACCCTGCAAATAATCTAATATCTTACTTTTTCCCAGGTTAACATTGCATGTTACATTTCTGAAGCCCAATGACAGTCAAAGAACTATAAAGTAATAAATAACAGATAATTCACCAAGTAAATCACACTGAATATTTTTAGTTTCTCTTTTTGCTCTTCAGTCATTAGTACTGCATCTATAAAATAAAACTAGGATTGACTGATTTTTGCCATCAAATTGATGTTGATTCCTAAGGACCACACAGATAGATTTTTCTCCAGGAATGAGACTCTCTAGTATTTATAAATTCAAAAAGACAGCAGTAAGCCCTCTTTAGAAGAGAAATGAAGATAAGCCCAATGGATGGAACTGGTAAAATAAAAATTTTACCTTGGAATTTCAAATAAATATAAAACCACATTTCCTTCCCTCCACATCAAATTACATATTCTAGTATTTGTAAGATCAGTGGAATTACTATTGAAGTAACTGACAATCTTTAGAATTGAGTAATTAAGAAAAACTTAAGTACAATTTAAAACTATGCAAGCCAAGCAACAAAAGGATCGTTGTATCATAATTACTTACTCAGAACAACTTGTATGGGAAATGGTCCATTTTTCTTAATAAATCCATAACAAATTGCAATATCTTTAGACAAATGTTTTTGCATATTAATTAATGTAACAATTATCCTTTTTTATTTACAACTAAATATTGGATAAACCTCAAGATAGCAAAAGTAGTGATATTTCTAATAGCGGTGTATCCAAAGTATTAACAAAATTATACTTTTTAATATTTAGATAAATGCCATATTTCTTTGCATGTTGTTTTTTAGATATGAGCAAAAAATTCCCGAAGCTACGAAAGTCTCCTCCAGTTGACTAGCGCATTGCATTAAAAAAAAAAATCCACACCTACAGTTATGCAGATTACTTTATAGAAAAACCACAAATATTTGTTTAGGTACTACAGTACTATACTATATTTACTCACTTAAGCTTATTTAAGGTGAAGCAGTTTTTATAAATGTCACAAGTACATGTAAGTCCAAGCATTATCCGAAAGGCTTTCTGTGTGCATTTCTAATTATGCTCTTCTGGATACAGACTAATACTCAAACTAAACAAATTACTTGGAACACCAACAAGATCATTTTGTTTCATGTACAATTATTCATTAAGATAAATGAATACATAGATCTTTGAAAATAATATATTTTTACAATATATCAGACAAATATATCATGCACTTACAATATTTATTTTGATATAATCTTCTATTATATCAAAAATAAAAAATACCTTAACTTTTATAGCAAAATTTAAAGATAATATTTTGAATGTTTTAATGTGATTACTAATTTTTTTAATACATTGAGGTTTTTTTCAAAATATTACATATAACTTAGTTTGTGCCTGAACTTCCTTTTTCAAGCTATAAACATAGCACACTCCCAATAACATAAATAAAGAGCATTTAAGAGATTTCTTTAAATCCTTATTTTGTGATTATATAATCAAATGACTACCATTAACCTCCATTTATATTTACAGTTCTGCTATGCTAACCAGACCTATATGGATATTCTTCCATCATAACTCTAGCAATGCACTCCTTTCTACTTTTACATTACCCATCAGATCTCTAACTGTGCTTTCTAGTATTTGTATTTACAAGTTATACTAGTGTCAAAAATCCTTCTATCTTCCATTTTTCATCTACTATTAATTTTCATATTCCATATGCCAGATGTGTTACACGGCATATTTTTATTTGTTTAATGGGAGGGAGGACCAGTTTTTAATAAATGACATAAAATTTCCAGTTTCAGAATAAGCCTTAAAAATTAGAATCCACATGTTGGCTTCAATTATTAATAAATAAATAAAAATAAATCTTTTTTTAAAAAAAATTAAACCTTTTTTTAAAGGTATGTTATATTGTTTTGACTTAAAACATGATTACAGAAGCATTTCATTGTTTTTTCCAAGTGCATTACAGGACAATCTTCAACCAAATGCCATTATCCTGTGCCCTATGATACCTTTTTCTCAACATTTTGTGTACAAATAGATTCTCAGAGAACTTACACTAAGATCAGCCTTTGACTGATTTTAGAGGAAATGCCTCAATGAATTGTATATGGTAACTGATTCAAAGGATTTGTTTTATTGTCAAGGAATATATATTTTAAATATTCCAATATAAGAAAATACAGTAATATTTATAAAACTGGCATATAACTTACCTACAACTAAAAAAGAAAAACTGAGCAAGCATAAATGTCTAAATATAAAATTAGGAAGGTTTAAACAATAAAGACTGATAAGAAACTTAAAAACTTTAAATAAATATGCTGTGTTAAACTATTATTTTTCATGCAACAGATTAACACATCTATCCTTCTGGAACAGACTTATTTATAAAGGACAGAGTATTTTTTAGCCATTTCATATTCCCAAAGGTTTTGTTTTCTACACTGATTACAATAGAAAGCACACAAACATATGGGGAAAATGCTACATCAATGAATGTTTTGGATATTTATATTGGAAATGTTATATATACTTCCTAACTCTATAAAGGTTTCTGTTGAATCAACCAAATTCCTCTATGTAATTTGGTTAGTAATATAGTTTAGATATAAAATAACTATTTTAATTAAAACTACTCAAGACAAAGTAAGCATGAACAAAATCAGACTGATTGTTCTCAGTTTCAAAATATAGGTAGTATTTTGCACAAATACAGGTAAGTTATAGGTTATAGCACCCAAGTATGTAAAATGACTGTGCTGATTGGCTTTTAAACAAAACACCAAGTATGTGGAAAAAATGGGGAAATTGCTGCTAAAATATACTAGTAATCCAGATATAAGTAAATATTAAGGGAAGAAAAATTAACATTCCCCATGCTAAGCAGGTTTCTAATGGATAATATTGGTCTATAGTTTATGGTCAGACTTTTTTCCTGTTCATTTGTGATTCCACTGGAAAGCTTTTCGCCTAAATTTATACAGGGACTTTTTATCATTTTCCATCTGATAGAAATCACTCAGCTAGATTTAATAAATAGCAGTAAGAGTTCATATAAATGACAATAGACTAAAGATTGAAAGATTCATTTTATGTGTCTTTAATATATATATATCATACTCCAATATATGATTTTACACCTTTTAAATAAAACAAGAGGCATGGTATTCTTTAGGAAAACAGAAACCCTATTTTCAAAACTTTTGACTTGTTTCCTTCAACTTTTTTGTTCTAACAAGATGGGTAAACCCTAAGTATACATTTTATTTCAAACCACAATAGATGTAGAGTGAATATACAATATCAGCAAATCATAAATCACCCTGATGAAAAAAATGCAAGAGGAACTCTGAAGAAAAAACAGGTTTTCAAGAATCTAAACATTACAAATCTTGTCCTATTCCTAAAAATATTTAATGGAAGATCTGTACCATGCATTTTTAAAAATCTCAAAACTGCCACTTCAGTCATGTACTATCATCACTGCAACAAAAGCCTTGCACACCCCGTGGGAATACAGCTGAAGAATAACATCTATATCTGCATCTCACCAACAACCTTAGTAATCCAGAAAGATGCAGATAAATCCAGAGCTACAAGCCATTGTGGAAAGGGGGGGGGAATACCTGATTTTGGAAATTGTTGAATGTGCAAGTCTTTCTTAGCCAAATGATCATTTGCAGGAGAAGAAAAGTAAAGTCAGAAGACTGATGCTTGAAAACGCATTGTAATTAACTTCTTTATTGCGCACGCCCTATTTCCACCCTCTCCCCTTTGTGGCTCTCGGGAGAAAAGAACAAAAACAAATTCGAAGCCGATTCTTTCGGGAGCTAATTTTATCTGTCAGCTGAAGCTACGGTTTTGCATACTGCTTTTTTGGTAGTTTCCAGCTTCGGACTCTGTTTTGGTCCTTAATGTTGAATAGCAGGCAGGAATCCTCCTCCCTCCCCCCCCCGACGCCCCTTTTCTGCCCCCCCTTTCCATTTCACCCCATGACACCCACCAGCTGACTTCTCCTCCAGAACAGAAAACCTAAGTGGGTGGAGGGCTTGTCGAAAGAGAGTGGGTGGAGATTGTCAGATATTCACCCAGCCCAACGATTTCAAGTCAGCGGGCAGTGGGGAAACTGCTTTTCCAATATTCCAGAAAGAAACATGTGCTCCCTTCACTGCCCTTTTGGGAGGCTACTTCACCCCTAGTTTTCTCGGTCTATTTCTCAAATTCGCTACATATTATTTATGTGGGTGCTTGTGGTTGTATGCGCCCGCGCGCACGCATGCACATTTACTGCGCTCGCTTGCTCTCTCTCTCTCTGTCTCTCTCACACACACACACACGCACGCACACAAACATGCACAAACACAGAGAGACACAAACGTGATCTAAAGCCCAGCCACAAGCAAAGAAATTGCAACCGAGTGCATCTTGGTGTTTCCTTACCAGGCAACCGGGAGCAGGAGGCGCTTGTCCTTCAGCTTTCCCGTCTGGGCGACGAGTAGGATTTGTCTTGTTCTGCGCGGCTCTCCTGGAATGAGAGACTTCAGGGATAACCACACTCTTCTCCAAAAAGACAGACGCGAAAAGTGTAGAGCTGCGAGTAAGCTCTTCTCCGCGCCCCGAAAAGTCTGTGCACCCCCCTCCCTCCCCTACTCTTTGCGAGCTGGCTTTGTATGTTAGGGGTGAAGTTTCGGCTGCTGCTGGCTGGATGGCTAAGAGGAGGGGGGAAGAGAGAGAGAGAAAGAGAGAGAGAGAACGCGAGAGCCAATGGGGGGGGGGGCAGAGTGTAGTCAGAGCATCACCACTCTGCAGCTTCTCCAGGAATCCCTCCACGGAGAGGCAGACCATCCTCGCCTTTCCCTGACGGTCCGATTGGCTGACAGGCGGGGTCGGTGTCTCCAGCAGCCAATCAGCCGCCTGGGATTACAGGTGGGCGTTGTTGAGGTACCATTGCCAACCTCACGGCTGCGTTGGCTTCCGTAATCTCGCTTCGCTCAACCATCCGTTTATCCACCCATCTAAACCCTTCTCTGCCACTCCGGACTGTTCTGGGAAGAGGGGGCTGGGAAGGGAGTTCCCTCGAATGACAATCAAGGACATCAAATCAGTCTTTGCAACTGACAAAGTGGCTGTGTTTCCGCCCCCTCCTTTCTCCACCCGAAGCTCTGCAATGCAAAGCCAGTCGCCCGGGCGACCTGTTTCTCTCCACGCCCCGCTCCCTCTCTCTTTCGCCTTCTCTTTTTCCCCCGTCGAAATCTCGGGCAATTTATAGTATGGCATTTTCAAAGCAACAAAAGAAGAAACAGAAAGAAGGAATCAGCAGCTCGTTGGGCGGCGTACATGTGTGTATGGCCGGCGCGAGCAATTAAAACGACATAGAATAAAAAGAAAAACAAAACCTGCCTCATCTCTTTAAGCGCACTTAAATCAGATAACCTTTCTCGAGCTTCGGGTGTGTGTTTCTGTGTGTGCGGGTAAAATATGGCAGGTAAGGGGTGGGGGGAGCCTCACTTCACATAATGAGCTACTCCCTCCCGGGCCGGTCGTGGGGTTTTAAATCCCACACTGATACGCTCTTTGCAGAGACAAGTGAAATTAATCTCAATGTGAATTTTATGGACTCTATCACTGTTATAACAAAATAGAAACATCAAATAGAAACATCAATTTGCAGAGATTCTTTATAGCTTTGGTTCATTATGAACTGATACTGTAATTGCTTCGTAAAAGGTAATTCACAGCACACTTCTTCCGTTTTTTGTTACAAATGTCCAATTAAACGAGGTTATCAAAAGCTCCAAGATACATAAAAGTAAAATTATTATTTCAAAAAAGACTGAAGCATGTGAAAATGGTTGTGTTTTGCCACATAACATCCACGTGGCATCTTGAAGATCTGAACTCAAGCGGTAGCATCATTTCCTTCTACACCTAGTTCTTATCTGTACAGATACCCTTATCAGTCAACCTGTGACGGTTTTGTATATTTGGTCACAGAGTTTATTAAAAATAAAGAATAATGTTTTGTTTCTAGAACTGACAATCAAATGTTGAATTCCACAATCAAAAATATATTCCATACATAGCCCATTAGTTTGTATGCTGTTCAGTTTAAGGCACAGCACTCTCTGAGACAATTGGCACCATTTCTATTTGATAACTATTCTGCAAACCTTTTTTCCCACTGGATAAGATGCTGCCCTAACACTAATAGTAATTGACCATCCAGCCAATTCTGTAATCTGTGATCCTCAGACTTCCTGTGGATGTTTTTCTTAGGCTTTGCTGCAAATACTGAGCTTAAATCTTAAAAGCAATGCTATTTCTTTTAATACAACCATTCTTAGTTCCAGTCTTTCTGATGAAATTATATGACTAATCCATTTATGATTCCTTTAAAACAAAAACAACAATCTTGAGATTTAGGGCTATGGAATTCCTTGCTACATTGTGTGATAGTTGAACTGCATCATTTAGAAGCATCTAAAGAAGGAATACAAAGTATATTTTAAAAGTTGAATATTGAATACTTTTAAGTCTAATTTCCTGAAATTGAAGTTTTTGCAAGAAGAAATATTTAGTATTTAGTAAATATATACTGTATGTATGTATGTATGTATGTATGTATGTATGTATGTATATGTGTGTGTGTATCCATTTCAGTTGCATCACCCAGTACTGATATTACAATTGATAAAAATATATACTACACTTTGATTTGAACTGAAAGATCAAGGAGAAGATAGCATGGAAGAGAAAGCATGGAAGGAGCAAAGCTCAGAGAAATCTTTTCTCCACTTTAACTGACAACTTAATGATCAAATCCAGGAGAGTGACAACATTTTGTGCAATTTGCTGTTGCAGTTAGTTCAAAGGATTGTATAACCACTTATAGCACAGCTCCCATACTTGACATTGTATGTCAGAATCTTAACCACTTTTATGTATAAACTTTTTATCATATATTCAGGATTCAACCGTTTTAATACTATATCAGTTATTAGATTAGTGTTTAATATTTCAGTATTTATTTAAACTGTTAAATAATTTTGTAAATTTAGCGCTTAAATGATCTTTAAGTAACTCAAATCTTCTGCAAGATTTTATTTTTCAATCTTACAGTTTTTTAACTCTTTCCATTCTGCAGTCTGCTTGTAAATCTTTAAACATCTTTTTCTTGAGCTATTTGTCATAAAATTGGGTTTAAATATGATCACTGAATATAATCAAATTTTACAATTGTCAATATAAGATTGAAATAAAAATGGATCTACTTTCTCTTTCCAGTTTTGCCCAAAATGATATGTTTGTACCTAATGGAAGACCATATGTTTGTGGTCATAGCTTGCTCCCATATAGATAAGAGTTTTCAAATAGCCTTCAAGACATACATAAATATCTGAGATTAGCAGCATAACTAAAACAAACTTGACATCAATATCACCAAAGCCAATAGGATGTCATGTTCTGTATGTAGCTGTATAAGTTATATGTAACCCATATAATAATTGGAGATTCACTTGCATGAAGGTAGATTTGTGCTGTTCTTGCACAATTACATAGTACATCCCATATGTATATATTTATTTACTTTGTATGTTTTTATATGTATCCATTTATAAAAACTATGGGTGGCTAACAGGAAGCAGGAGATCCTTCAATAACATTAAAAAAAAACCCTGCCCTTATCACCAGATTTAATATCAAACTCAAAAAAAGAAATACACAAAACTATATATATAATATTCACTGGATTCAAGACTTCAGTCACAGCATTCCCTCTTCCTGTGTTTAATGGAATAGCCATATTTTAACAATTCTCCTGAAATGCAGAAGGGAAGAAGTGGATTAAATCTCTGTAGGAGAAAATTCTAAAATATGGGAATAGATGTTGAAAATATACATTTCTGAGGTCCTGAAATTAATCTTGCACAGGTGAGACCTTGGGAGAGTTGACCTTATCTGACTAGATCAGATAGTTGGTCCATTTAGGAAAATGATGCTAAATAATGATGTTTTATAAAAAATACTAGAAGCAAATAAGCAAAGACATAAAGCAATTTGCACATTGTTTTTTGGGGGGACTGCTTTGCAAAGTCATACATTTACCTGATCCAGTTGTTATATCTTCAGTTCCCCAAATTCCCAGTCAAGGAGAACGCAAACAGCTAGACAACATCACATTGGAAAGGTTGCCCAATTCTGAAAACAGTGAGTTTTACAGTAGTCTCTCCTTAGGCACAAAGCCAGCTGGGTAACCTTGAGCCAGTCATTTTCTCTCCCTAAGGAAGTGGCAACGGCAAACTTCTGAAAAATATTTCAAAGAAAACTGCAGAGACATGTCCAGGCAATCTCCAAAAATCAGAAATGATTGAATGAAAGAAAAAAAAATGTCATGTTAATTGTTAATTCAGGAAATTGCTGACATATACCAAAAAGTTTCCTATTTTCTTGTATATACTGTAACTTAATGACTACATTTAAACATTTGCAAGATATTTTCAGTGCAAGTAAGACAAAACCATTGCAAAATGATGTATGTGGTTCATAAAATGAAATCACTATGTTACTATATGTTCTATTTTTTTTTTAATGGGAAACATTGCAGTCCCTTTTTTATCATGTATTGACAATTTTTTATTGGAACTATGGTGTTGAGTGGCAAACCACAGAATAAAGGATTCAATATCACTAAAATAGAAATTATAAATTAATTATAAATGTACCCAATTATAGAGAATTATAGATATAAACAAAAATGTAGTGTTTGTTAACCTAATGATGTTTTCTAATGTATTTATATCCTGTTTGATAGCAATAGTAGTATTATGATACATAAACGTCATGCTGTGCTTCCTAACAAACATTATAAATATAGAATCTCTGCTTTAAATTATTGCCTTCTCCTCAGATAAAAATGTTTATTTTTTATTTCAATATGTCTATATTTCATAATTATACATTTCTAGGTAGTTTATAAATCAAACTATAAAAGGGATAGCAACTATAAACATACTAATAGTGCTGAAAAAATCAACAGCCCGCTGACTATTGGCTAGGAACTAAAACATATTACATCTCTTCGGTAAGATCAGTTAGGTAAGATCAAGAAAGCTAATCCAGGGTAAATACAAAATCTTAGAAACTGTAAGAGGAATAGCTCATTTTCATGTAATGAGTTAATTAAGATGGATAATTTGAGTGATTTGAAATGCTTCTTCCAATGCTTTTTCCACTGGGTTAAGTTTCTGTTTATAAATAAGCTGTGAACTGACTCATCCACTGTCTTGATTGTTTATATCTACTCTCTGTTTCCCAATCCCCCATTACTTTCCCAGCCTCCCACAGTCTCTCACTGTATAGATGTTAGGCTCTGAAAGCTTGTGGGGAAAAGCTGTGATTTCACTGTTATCTGAAAGGTGACTGAAGTCAAGACTGGATTCCGGAATGTTGTCAAAAGCAATACAGAAGAACTGGTTTGGGACTTCTAGCCCTTTTTACCTCCTGAATTGAGGGAAACAGAGATCCTTTGAAGTGGGATGGATAGGCCTGTAATAATAAAAAACAGTGTTGTGTTAGGATTGATAGAAAGTACCAACAACAACATGCCTTTATAGGGTATAGGCCAGTGGTGGCGAACCTGTGGCATGGGTGCCAGAGGTGGCACTCAGAGCCCTCTCTGTGGGCACGCATGCCGTCATCCCAGTTCTAGGCCTTCAGCTGGGTTTTATAAAACCTTTTCACTTTAGGCTCCTGCCGCCGTGTGCCAAAAAAAAAAAAAAAGGTTCAATCAGTCAATTTCAACTTCTCACGGGCAAAAAAAGATCTTACAAAGTTGGAATTGATTGATTGAACTTTTTAGTCCCACTCAGTCTGCCATTACCACCACAGCCACGCCCACCAAATGGGCCATGCCCACCCAATTGGCCACACCCAGCCAATGGGCCACACTTAGCCAATGGACCACGCCCAGCCAATGGGCCACACCCAGCCAATGGACCATACCCACCCGGCACTCGACGATGCATAAGTGGGTTTTGGGTTGCAGTTTGGGCACTCAGTCTCTAAAAGGTTCGCCATCACTGGTATAGGCTTTGCCCTTTTTTCAAACTG